AATGGTTGGGGAAAAAAATGTATAGAAGAATAGTATGTCTCTGCCGATTTTTGTATGGCCTGTGGGCTAAGGATGGCCTTCCTATCTTTAAATGGATGGAAAAAAAAAAATGTATAGAAGAATAGTATTTTGTGACCCATGAAAATGATATGGAGTTCATATTTCCATGTCCATAAATGAAACATTGTTGGAACACAGTCATGCCCATTCACCTAGGGATTGTCACCCCTTTCACACTACAACCGCGGAGCTGAACAGTTGCCACAGAGTCCGTAGGGTCTGCAAAGATGAAAACATTTACTGTCTGGTCCTTTACGAAAAAGTTTAGTTTTCCACCCCCTGATTTAAAGAATAGAATTCCTTTGCACTTTAGGTTTGGAAGGAAGCAAAGAAGTCCCTCGAAGGTACTCTATAGCACAGTATAAAATATATCACATGAAAAGTGCCTCTAGTCTGAATGTATTGTTGATGTTCAGGGTGATTAGGGTAAAAAGGAGAAAGCTGAGGAGATATCTTGGCGATACAACCCTTCCTGCAGCAAGCCTGCCTTAGGAGTACATCAAGGAATTTCTAAAGAAAGCAACTCCAGCCTCTCATTCCTTGAATGTTTGTTGGTTTTCTCTTCATTTTTGTTCTTGAGACAAAGTCTCACTCTGTCTCCCAGGCTGGAGTGCAGTGGCATGACCTCAGCTCACTGCAACCTCTGCCTCCCAGGTTTAAGTGACTCTCGTGCCTCAGCCTCCCGAGTTGCTGGGATTACAGATGTTTACAACCACACCCAGCTGATTTTTGCATTTTTCGTAGAGACAGGGTTTCACCATGTCGGCCAGGCTGGTGTCGAACTCCTGACCTCAAGAGATCTGAGTGCTGGGAGTATAGGTGTGAGCCACTGCACCTGGCGTTCTGTTCATTTTTGAATGTATTTTTATTTTCATGATCACCTACTTAACTCTCTCTAAACATGCAGCTATTTAAGTGTGCTTTGACAGCTGGGTGTGGTGGCTCACTCCTTTCATCCCAGCACTTTGGGAGGCCTATGTGGGAGGATCCCCTGAGCCCAGGAATTTGAGACTGTTGTGAGCTATGGTTGCGCTGCTGCACTCCAGCCTGGGCAACAGGGATCCTGTCTCTAAAAACAAAAAGAAATAAAAATTTAAAAATAAAGTGTGCTTTGGGTTGTCTGGGGATTCCTGGGAGACACATAGGAGCCTGGGCCCTCACATGAGCAGTGCTGAATGAGGCCACGGCCCTCGTTTTTGGCATCTGAGAAGCAAAGAGCTTTTGCCTGGCCTCCTCTGGGCCACTTTGCAGGTTTCATTAAGTTCTTACCTGGAGGAAAACTCTAGCATGTGCCCTGTGAGTTCCCTGTGGTTCAAAATAGCTTTTACTGATGGCAAGAAGATTAAACTTTCTAATGCCACATTACTGAATCACACTTGGAGTTTAAAAGTGATCCATTTGAGATTTAAAATCAGTTAATGCAAGATTCTCCCTCTTCCCCTTTGTTTTAATCACCTCCTCTTCACTTGCTGGAGAGGGAAGGGTCCTGCCCTAGGGTCATGGGGATGGCCAAACACCCGGCCCTGGACAGATGGGGTGAATGACAGATGGGGCGAGTGGTAATTTATTACTCACAGACACAATCCAGAGGAAGAGGACACTGTCCCCCCATACAGGGCCACTTGGGAACAGAGTGAACAAGCAAGGGCTGTGGGAGGCAGGTTTTGTAATATCAGGAGAGAGTGATGTTCCGTGCTTCACACAGGAAGGGGTGATTGATTTGAATAATGCTGTGGTCTGGCAGGGAACTGAAACCGCTACTCAGGGATAAGCAGGAATTGCACCTGGTTCCTTTGATAAGGAGGGTCGTTAAACCTGGAGACCTTATCTGTGGGAACAGAGTGGGGAGTGGGGGACCTTGTGGCTAAGCTATTTGAGGCCTCCTGGTTTTGCCAGAAGTCAAGGCAGCACAAATTTTGGACCTTAAGTTTAGGCCTCACACAACACTCTTCTCATTCTACCATCCTCTCAGAGGTGATCTAAGTTTCTGTCAGTGCTTTCAAATCTTCCTGGCAGCTGGGAAGACACAGCCACTTCCTTTATCTCTGCTGTGGTTGAGCTGGCTCACCCCAGGCCTCTTCTGTTTAGCCTGCTGTTCAGCATTCCTCTGGATACCCACGTGTGAGGGTCTTTCTCCCCACTTTGAGGGGCTGCTAGTCTTCCTGGGAGGCCACCTCACAGAGAATCCAAGCAAAAGGACCTTCTGCTCTGGGATACCCTCCTGCAACTTATCCAGCATCTTTCCTTAGGCATCCACTAGAACTCAGCTCTAGTAGTCTTTCCTTGTTTAACTCTTATTTCCTTTTAGACAAGAAAAATCATTCTAATTTATCATGCATACTTCCTTCTCTCTGACTTATGGTATAAATTTCATGCTCCAGTCTTCAGGGTTTGTGGTTCTTGGTATACAAAGCCAAGTTTTGTTTAAAACCAAACAAGAACTTTTCTCCCCCAAACCCCAAGGAGGCTTAAAACTTTAAATTTAGTTTTTATAAAGAAGTGTTGTCTCAGCTTTTGGTCTTAAAATAATTCATTCAATAAACAATTGATAGCTTTTTTCTAGAGCTACAGCTGCACTATTCAGTAGCCACATGTGGCTATTTAATTTAATTAAAATTATTATTAATTTAAATGAAAGAAAATTAAAAATTTGGGCTGGTCTGAGTGCAGTCGTGTTTACAACTAATTGATTACAACCAGTTACAGATTGCTTTATTCTTTCTCCACTCACACTGCTTCGCTTGACTAGCCTTTAAAAAAAGAAAAAGAAGAAAAAGAAAATTAAAAATTCATTCCCTCAGTCACAGTAGTCACATTTCAAGTGTACAACTGCCACACGTGGCCAGAGGCTACTCTATTGGATAGTGCAAATATAGGACATTTCCACCATTGCAGACTGTTCTGCTAGACAGTGCTAGTCGAGAGTATGCCAACCCTCCCCATGAGGGCTATGAACTGTGAAAGTCAAGGGTAATGGGCACGGGGGTTGATGTGGCTGAAGAAGGAACCTGTTAATATCTCGAAATGTTTTCTTGCTTCCGTAACTTTGAGGAAAGTTTTGAACTTTAGAAATGTAAGTAACTGCTTTTAATGAAATGCCCCCCCGACCCCATGTTTTGGTAGAAGAACGTTTTTGGCAGCTGGAAATGTTCCTGCCTACCAGTCTGTCACAGACGGCATGTGCCATGGGCTACCAGCACTGAGCAACTGTCTCAGGAAGAGCATTTTTGCCTCGCAGCTCAGCCTGCCCCAGCCACTGGATCCACGGAGCCTCCAGGTGTGTTTCTGACGTATTTTTATACTGTAAATGGTGTGCTGTGTGTAGGGAATTTAGGCTGTTTGTTTCCATTTGGTTTAGATTCTGCAGGGGCTTTCAAGACTTTAATGCCCTCTGTCTTTACTGGCTCAGCTTCACTTGCACAGTGGAACAGTCTGGGCCCCAGGGCCAGCTGTGATTCCCAGTCAGGGTCTTGGCCTCCAAACACTCAACAGGCTGATCGGGGCAACAGCTTGTCTGTTCACAGTTGATAGCAAAACAAACACTTAATCTTCTCCATGTAATAAATAGTCATGATAGCAATTGCAATGCCTAAATGAAGTCAGCAGCTGGGTTTTCAATAGCCCTGGTTATAGCCCCTGTTGTTGAAGGCAAGCCTGGCAACTATTGTTGCTCCTAGGCAGGAACAATATTACCCACCTTCTACAACCAAAGAGTTCAAGATTCAGGAAGGCCAGAGATCGGACTATTCCAGAGTCATGGCAGCACCAGGTTGCAAGCTGTATTAGTTACTTATTGCTGCATAATGATTTACCCTAAAGTTTGGCAGATTAAAGTAATAGACATTCATTATCTCACATAGTTTCTGAGGATCAGGAATCTGGGAGCAGCTTAGGTGGGCAGTTCTGGCTCAGGGTCTCTCATGAGTCAAGATGTTGGCCAGGGCTGTAATCATCTCAAGGCTTCACTGGAGGACAACCTGCCTCCAAGCCCACTCCTATGGCTGCTGGTGGGCACCAGAAGATCCACTTCCAGGCTTGTTCACATATGCTTCTCCACCGAGCTTCCTTGCAACACAGTAGATGGCTTCCCCCAGCACAAACAGTCCAAGAGAGAACCCAAGATGGAAGTCACAGTGTTTTTATTACCAGATTTCGAAGTGACTCTCATCACTTCTGTCATATTCTTTTCACTGGAAGTGAGTCACTAAGTCCAGCACACATTCAAGTAGGGGGGATGGTGCGGAATTAAGCTCCACCTCTTTACAGGAGGAGTATCAAGGAACTAGTGGATATCTCTTTCAAACTACCTCACAATCCCTGGTCTTTCGACTCCAACATTTCCAACTTAATATTCTGATCTTATAGTGCTAAGCCAAGGGACACCAACATTTCTACCTGCAGTGGCTGCAAGACAGTGACTTTGGGCCCAAGCCTTGGCCCTCATTTAGACCCAGAAGACAGGGCTGGACCGTGACCACTGGATCTGCTCTTGCTACCTTTGGGTGTTGCCTGGGATTAGGTGGATACAAGAGTCCTGGCTTCTTGCTGTCAGAATCAACTGCAACTCCAGGACTTGACTAAAACCAGAACCAGGTCTGGAAGTGTAGAATGGGGTCAGATAGGCAGGCTCACTGGTTCCAGGGCTGCACATGGTATCACAAGGGACAGAGGATGCCTTAGCTATTGGTTAGTGATACGGAGGAGACAGAGACTCACATGTAATAATTTGTGGCGCTGGTCTTGAGTTGTTACCTAGAACTAGAGCACAATAGTGATGAAGGACAACTTTTTAAGGTTCCTGATATTGAGAGCATTTGAGTAAATTTATTTTTATTGATTTTAAATGTGTCCCATTGGTGTTATACTGCTCTGGAACTTCTGAACACTGGTGCGGATTAATTACACTGAAATCTTAAGTACTCTTCTGTGTTTCACCATCTGCTGAGAAAACTATTTAAAAAATAGATTATTACTCTCTCCTGTATCACTAGGAAGTTTCAAGAAATACTTCCATGTAATAAATAAGTCATCCAAAATTGTTTTGGGGTGCAGACACAGATATCCTATTCATATACAGATATCTATTAATTTTGAACACAAAGTACAGCATTATCATGTTTATTATTTTGTTCTCTTAGGCATTTGAGCTGTTTCCTTGGAGAGCATTTCTGGAAGATGGAGGACTATTCCCAGCTATGAGTAGCAGCCCAGATACCCTAGAATATAATATGCAGGTAGGATAGGTCTTCTCCATTGTTACAGAGAGAACTTCTTGAGTGCAGACTGCAAAGATGGTTGCCATTGGGTCCACAGGTCAGATCCTCCTACTCTCACCCATGATGAAAAATGTGTGAGATAAGCAGGGTGTTTGATTTTGAAGCTGTAAACCTGGGACCACGAGGTGAGTCACATTTTCTTATGATAGAAGAGAAGCATGCTCTCAACTGGCATGGGCCTGGGCTGTAGACTCAACTGCAGTTCTCGTAACAGTAGTGATCTGGGAGAATGGCCAATCATCTCCAGTCATGGGCTGGGCCTCCTAGAGAAACTCCCAGGCTGGAGGCTCAGAGATGTGTGACTCCTGACCTGTCCATAAACAGTGGTGGGAAGGGAACTTTTTAAAGCAGGACTCGTCGGGAGAATTTCTTTTCATTGTTTTCTTTTCCGCCGTTAACTTCTTTTAAATTGTTAGATTCTTTTCATTATTAAATGTTTTCCCCTGATTATTTAAGTAAATATTGTTTTTATTTAAAAAATAGAAAGCATAGAAAAGTATTAAGAACAACATGAAAATCAACCATAAATACGCTTCAAAACCATATGGAGGTGGGGGAGTGGGTGGATGGGATGGGACTGGCCACGGGTTAATGGTTCTTGGGGCTGTGTGATAGGAACTTTTCTGTTTGATTTCTATATATTCAAAATTATCCATAAGTAGAACAGGTTTTTTAAGTAAAATAGTAAAAATGGTCTTAAAAAATTTACCATATGGCTGGGTGTGGCTCACACCTGTAATCCCAGCACTTTGGGAGGCCAAGGTGGGCAGATCACTTGAGCTCAGGAGTTCAAGACTGGCCTGGGCAACAAGGTGAAAGCCCGTCTCTACTGAAAATACAAAAATTATCTGGGTGTGATGGCACACGCCTATAGTCCCAGCTACTCAGGAGGCTGAAGCATGAGAATCACTTGAACCCAGGAGATGGAGGTTGCAGTGAGCTGAGATCGTACCACTGCACTCCAGCCTGGTGACAGTGTGAGACTCTTAAAAAATAAAATAAAATAAAATAAAATAAAATAAAATAAAATAAAATAAAATAAAATGGTAAAATAAAATTAAAAATCAACCATCGTCCCACAACTAAGAGACAATTACAGTTCACATTTTATTTCCCTGGTATTTTCTCTCTGCGTATGTGTGTTTATATCTGTACTTTTAAGGAAAAATTGGTATCACACTATACATTCACCATGTCAGATCTGCTGTAAGGGCTGGAAACTTGGCATTTTCATACAGAGCCAAAAGTTTGATGTGCTCAAAGAAAACTTTAAGTTAGAAATGTTACTCTGGTTTTTATGAATTTTCTAGCAGTTGAGAGGATGGGTTCTTGTAAATACAGTTACTCCTAGTTTTCTTCCTAAAAACCATATGTAAAATATATATATATAGTCTTCAAATGGAAGGTTTTTTTGTTTTTTTAGCTGTGCCTCTGTGGGTTGAGTGACCGTGACCACAAGGTGGCTCATGGAGAACTGGTGGGTGTGCAACTGCTACTGGAAGATGTTCTGAGTAGCTATCATGTGACCATGGAGGCCTCCCCAGGACAACAAGCCACACTGGGCAAAAATGCACAGGTATTCTTGGGGAATCGTTTCCATATTGACCAGTACTGTATTGGGCTGAAGGACTTCTCTGCTGGGGAGATGGTCCAGGGAGCCACATGTTCCCATAGCCTCTCTCAGTAGGTCCCGGGACTGTGCCAACACCACCTGGGAGCAACAGTGGAGCAGGGGTAGCCACTGCAAAGCATTTTCTAAGTTCCATGATTATGGTCTATCCAACTATTTTAATTTTTAAAATGGGACAAAAGTTGTAGGAGGTCTATTGAAACAAATGAAACAAAAACACCAACTGAATGCTTTCTTTGTGAGTCACACATCTAGGACTGGAGTTGGAAGGGCCAGAGGGGTCTGATAGAAGCCCCAGGTGGACATCTCAGGCCTGGGCTCTTGTCCTCACACTCAACTACTGGCCTATGGCCTCCTGGGCAGGCACTGCCTCCTCTGGATTTATCACTCTGAAGCTCTAAGGTGCAAGAGCCACTAGCCCTCCTAGTATCATGACTTTAAACAATTTTGCATGTATCTGGGAACTGGGCAGAGACATGTTTGGATGCCAGACAAACTAGCTGGTGCCCCCACTTGAAGACCTTTTCTGTCTGAGCCAAACTTTCTGAGCAATGCCTAAATCTGTCATCTTCATTTTCTTACCTTCCTGCTACTCCTTGCAGCACTACAGTCTGTCTTCCCAATCTTGCTACTGAAACGTGTCTCATCAAGAGGTGGTCCTTGTCACTAAATCCCCTGGGTACTTTCAGTCACCTTCCTACCTAACCCCTTGGCAGCATTTGACAGAGTCCTTCTCAAAGCCTTTCTGCCCTTGGCTTCCACAGCATGAGTCTCTCCTACCTTTCCTCTGACATTGCTGAGCCCTCCTTCTCAGACCCTTCTGTAGGGTCCTCTACCTCTGCCAACCCTAAAATGTTTTTTATAATCTATCCCACCACTGCTACCAGGGCCACATTTTGACTTCCACAGGCCCTAACACCTTTACCTTTGTGGGCTCCTCCCTCCGCCATGAAAAACCTTTAAAAGTTATATTTTAACATTGTGCTAGTACAAAGAAAAAGATATTAAAATCGTATATTAAGGCATTTTCTTTAGCCTAAAAGGTCTTTTTTTCTGATTAAAAAAAAATAAGGCATTTTGTGAGCCCTAGGCACTGTGCCTCCTCTGCCCAAGCCATTAAGTCAGCCCTGAATGCTACTAATACCACTACTATTATTGCCTACAAGTTGAGGTCTGTTCAGATTGCTTTTGATGTATTCATTTATTTAGTCCTCACAATAATTCCATGAGATAGGTTGTTTCATTGTTCTCATTTTATAGTTAAGAATACTAAGGCTTAAAAAGGTTAAGTAACATGGCCAAAGTCACATGGGTAATGAGGAGACAAGCTCAGACTCCAACCCAACGTTCTGGTCCTGGAGCTCCCTCATCCTCTTCTCTACTAGGTTGCTCCATTCCTCACCCTCTCCCTAGGAAAACCCATCCACTTTTATAACTTTGATGACATTCACATGCCATGATCCAAATCTATATGTCTAGCCCAAATATCAATCCTATCAGACTCACATGTTCAATTGCCTGCTGGATATCTCCACTTATTCCATCTCAGAGACAGCATGTCCTAAGCTAAGGTCATCTTACTCCCTAAATCTTGCCCCTCCCCCGTAGTCTCTGTCAGGTGGTCAAGCCAAAAACTCTGGGCACCATCTTTGACTTCTGTCCCACACCCCACAACCAGTCACCAAGTTTTACTATCAATTATTTTAATATCTTTCAAGTTTGTCTTCTTTCTCCGTTCCCCCACAGTACCCACTTCTATGAGTCCAAACCATCATCATCCCTGATCACTAGGCTATGATCGTGACCTCCAATTGGATTCCGTACACTTACTCTCACCTCTTTCCAATCCATTCACCAGGGTAATATTTTTAAATGCAAGCCTGATTATGTCACTTCCTTCACTACAACTCTTCAATGGATTCCAGATGCCATGAGAAAAGTCCAAATGCTTTCATCAGCCCCTCGTGACTTGACTCCTGACAATATTTCTACCCTCAATGTCTTTCGATTTGTCAAGTGCACCATGCTCTCCTCTGTACTTCTCCCAAGCTGGTCCCTCTAGTGGAAAACTTCCCTCTCCTTCCTTTTTCTGCTTCATCACCTGATTAACTCTTATCCTTACTTAGTTATCCTTCAGATTTCCACTTCAAAACCACTCTCTTTAGGAAGATTTTTCTGATCATCCACCCTTACCCCCGATGCTTCTCTGTGCCAATTAGAGTGCTTCTGGTGCAAGTAACAGGTTGTCCCATTAGCTATAACTTAAATTAGGGAAGCATATTAATCCTCCATAATAAGAAGTCTAGAAGGAGGCAGTTCAGGTTGGTGTAGCCCCTCAACAGTGACTTCAAGGACTCAAGGTCTGCCATGTAGCTGTGTCGGCAAACATCTCCCTCATTTTTGTAAGATAAAAACAGGAGCAAAAAAGCTTTCTCCTTGGAGATCTATCTTTTTATCAAGAAGGGGAATATTTTGTAGAAGCCCCCCAGTATGATCATTTGCAAAGCTGGATATAGATCAAATTGTGCCAAGATCAAAAAACATGCTGGGCCCTCAGGTCCTTCTGTTTGCCATTTTTTGGCCCTGTCTGTGATGGATTACCATCTTTTTCTGACATTCCCCACCATCCTCCACCTTGTTATTTATCTTGGCTCCTGTTCCTTCTTTTGTCTTTTAAATTAAAGCACGTAGGTAGAAAAGACTTCTCATCATATGAACATATAAACAAACAAATTTGCTTTAAAATTATTATTTAATTAACTTTATTTCATGTGTTTTTATTTAGGAGTATTTAGCTATTCATAGACGATAGAAAGCAGCAGAATTTATACTGCCCTGAGAGTCAGGACTCCTGAGTTCCTGCCCCAGTTATGCCACAAGTTTTTTGATCTCACTAGGCCTCAGTCTCCAAAGCTCCAAAGTAAAGGTGATGAATTGGCTCAGGGCTTTTAAAATTGTGGTCCAAGGAGCCCTGGGGTTCCTAAGAGACACCTTGGGGCTTCTTGAGCTGGGGGTGGCGTGCAATTACATGGCCTCCAGGCTATCCCCTTCATGTCACCATGCTTGTCCTTGGTCTGTTGAATATTTGGGCCAGTGCATAAGACTTCATTTAATGAAAGAGCTCTGAGGATAAAATGAAATCTGGAAATCCATGCACTAGCTGATTGTTGGGGAGGCAGGCTACAAGACTGAGGAGTTACCAGCAATCTATAGAACTCACTCTCCCCTGGGTCTTGCTTATCAATTCTTCCTTGGACAATTTGACCAACGCTTTTCCTGGCAGGCAGGCTTTTCCTTATGTATGTTAATACCACTGCTCTAGGATCCAGTTATACCAGGTTGTTCTTCCTGTTTCTAGCCAGGAAACTTGAGTGTCTCAGGTGCTGTCACCTAAATGCTCTTTAAGCCTCTTTTTATCATAACATCACGGGATTTGCCATCCTGGTC